GATGGGTCAGAGGTTCTGAGGGGGGCAATCAGGGGGCAGGAAGTGGGATGGGGCGGATTGGGGGTGGGGGGCCAGGCTGTTTGGGGAGGCACAGCCTTCCCTACCCAGCCCTCTATACAGTTGTGCAACGCCGATGTGGCCCTCGGGCCAAAAACTTTGCCCACCCCTGCTCTATAGGCTACCTCAGCATGTTTGCTAATGAATATCAGCAAGTAAAGGGGCAAATAAATTAGTGTTTATATAAAAAAAAAGCCTCATTAACATTATTTGAGATGCCCCTTTTCTTAGTTTTCAGCAGTAATTCAGAGATGATGAAATCTCAGTATGCAGTAGCTTTTGAATTATTGCCTTCATCTTTTATGTACATACATCATATGCTTTCTTCTTGCATCCCTCTCCCATTTAGGAAGAGATGATCACTAGTAACCAGGTTGCTATTTTTTATTGAAGCTATTTCCAGTGTGGGGTTATTCACTTGACTTTAAAAGCAAATATATACATACAAGTCTATAAATACACATGTTAAATTACACTACAAATGCCACTGTTAATACTAAATTTACAGACATCAGTACTATTGTGGATAAACTTAAAAACTTAATGAAGATTTGATGAATTTTCTTGACGGTCACATAATTGATAATCACTTCCATAAAATATTCTCTAAACATATCCCCCAATTTGAACAAAGTGTTGGCTATTTCAAAATGTATAGAATATTTAACTTTCTCCTCATCAGCTACCTCCGTTTTCCTAAAGAGGCAGCACTATGTATTGATAGAAAGTTGGATAACCCACAGGTAAAAAACTGTGGGGCAATTTTTTCTCCTGCTGTCTGACCTCTTGTATCTCTCTGAAATCCCTAGTCTGAGGACTCTCTTAATTGCTGGATTTTATTTGTTGAGATGCGTTGTGTGAAAAGTACTATATATCAGCAGGCTATATTGCATGCCCTTACTAACTACATCAAGATTGACTGTCTTGTCAGTGCTCTCACCTGATTTAGAATTCCAGAAGATGCCAGAAATCTGTTTCTTCCAGTGGCTGATAGATAGAAGTCAAAGGGTTTGATGTATTCCAAATACACCACCTTGCTGAAGCCAAGCTGAGCAGGGTCATTCTGCACTTATTGTTCCCCTACTCAATCTCTTGAACTGTGTTGGGGGAACTGAAAGCAGTTTCTCTTGACCCACCTAGGGTGATTATGGCTGCTAGTAGGCAAAGTAAGTTGTCTAGTTCCCTGATTGATGTATGCCCACATATGGGAAACTGTAAACGCAAAAGGTTAAGGGGGATAGCCTTTTTTACTTTTTCTTTTTTTAGACGTTGGCCTAATTGCTTTTCTTAATAAAGCATGAGAGAAACTAGGAGTTAATCTCGGCTTGATCTGTCCATGCTATCTTGTCAAAATATCATCTTGACTTTATTGTATCATATACCTTAGCAAAGTCAAGATGGTGTCTACTGTATTCTATTTATCTATAGATATATCAACTTTGTCATGATTCACTTATGAACTTATTTTAATGCCTATGGCTCTGTTATCCTTAAGTATTAGCATTTTTCTTAATATTCTATTAGAAATTTATAATAAAATTGTCTTGATTAATTGCCCCATTGTTTATACAAATTTGACAAGTGCAAAGTATAAAACGGTGAAAACTGAATTTGAAAGATGAACGCAGGTTTCTTAGCTTGTAATAACTCAAGTGAGGTGCTAATGACGTCTCTTCGTTTTCCTTTCTTGTCCTGTCTTCTCTCACTCAATTGAAGTTAGAAAGTGTTTATTTTTGTATCTGAAGTTTTTGTTTTTGTGCACAGTATGTCTGGATTTGGAATGAACAGGAATCAGGCATTTGGAATGAATAACTCCTTATCAAGTAACATTTTTAATGGAACAGGTGAGTTTTTTCTTTAAATAGGTAGAGTATGAAGTACAATAGGAGGTATATATGTTAGCTGGTTAAAACCCCAAATTGTTAAAGATATTTGTATCTCTAATTGTGAATTTTTGTAATTATGCTTAATGACTTTGTACAGAATTGTTCCCAGTACTTAAGAATATGCACATAAATTGGAACACTGACATTAATATATGACAAATGTGTAATTCAGTTTTTAAGATCGTATGTAAAATACAAAATACATGTAGGTAGTAGCAAATGGCATAAAAATAACACTTCTGAAATTATACTAGAAATTAATATTTATATTACTTTTAAAGACAAAGTAGAAAAACTTAAATTACACTGAAAATAGTTTGTTTTGCATGGATTTTTTTTTAATATACAAACATACATTTGTAACAGCCAGTTTCAATGTCAAAAATAATTTAAAGATCCAGGGACAACAAAGGGATGAGCCTGTTAAATGTTTGTTAATCTGTAGGCGGGGTTTTGTATGAAAATATTCTGGTGAACAACTTCTTTAAAAACTATTTTTAGAAATCTTCCCTTATTTCCAACTCCTCTTACACAGATATAAAAAATGATCCTTTTCAATCAGTAGTCCAGGTTGTGACAGTTTCTAGGAATTCCAGACTGTTCATTTGTATTAAGAAAACTATATATAATATCATCCACAAAAATGCTTTACTTTAGGTATGTATGGCTATACTAAGCTTTCTGTATATACCTACAAGGTTATAATTTCATCTTTAAAATACTGATGATGTCATAAAGTAAAAGGGTAATGCCCAAGTGGTTTGTGTAGTCACTAGAACCCTGTGATGGCATTATAAACCTGTAATTCAAAATTTGTATATACTCTGATACCAGTTGCAAATTGGAATTCATGCCTTACCCTGGGTTTTACTACGTGTCTTCTGAAATTGCTTCATTATTCTGCCTTGTCCTGCGTTAGCAGCGATTAAAGGGCTCCTACAGCGCTGCCACTGATACTACTACTTCCCCTCTCCAAGCCCTTCTCTTGCTAGCTCCCTATTGTCAGTGAATCCTTTCTTTCCCACTATGGAACCACTGATAACTTCAGTCCTGTAATTTACAGGTACAGTGTCACATTCATGATTCTTGGCATATATTATTGAGTTGCTATTTTAAAAATAAAAAATGCTCTATAGCCTAGCCTAGCCTTGTCATCTAGGCTTTTCTTTTCTTTTTTTAAATTTATACAGAATACTGATAGAAACGTGAAGAGAAAATTAAGTGTTCTCCTACCTTTTAGTGGTGGGATTTTATTTCTTCAGCATATCATCTGTTGCTAGCACTATAAACCATGGAAATCACATCTTGGTGACAGGAGGTGGTGTGTGTTGAACATTTTAACGAAATCAGTTTGTTTGAATGTACATGTTCGTGAAGAGAAAATATTTTTGATCCTTTTATTGTTTGATGAAGAAAAATGTGATTTCATGTATTGCAGTCCCTGTGTAAAAAATTAAAGGTGGTTAAAAAACAGAGTGCTTTTTATTTTAGATGGAAGTGAAAATGTGACAGGACTGGACCTTTCAGATTTTCCAGCATTAGCAGACAGAAATAGAAGAGAAGGAAGTGGCAACCCAACTCCATTAATAAACCCATTAGCTGGAAGGGCTCCCTATGGTAAGAATGTACTTCTGAAAACTTTGTTGAATAAAATAAATGTTTACTTGCCTGATTTGCGTATGGCTGTTTGTAATACATTGTTATGAGACAGTGGGTAACATTTTCAAAAGTGTCTAGATCCCATTGACCATCAGTAAGACTTAGGTTCCTAAGTTGTCATTTTCAAAAGTGACTGAGACGCTTACAATCTGGTCATCTTGATGCTTTTGAAAACATTACACAACATCTCTGCAGTTGGAAGTTGACTTCAAACATGTTGCAAGTCATTATAACTCAGTTGTTTAAATTCACCTTTGATTGAAAACTGGCCATTTTTTTTTTTCAGTCTGGATATGCATATTTTTAAATAGCTTCATTTTTTTGTTTCCTATCAAATTGATTGCCTGTCTTTTAGATGCCTGTTAATCAAATTGTCGTAGCGTACCTTGTATATACATTTTATTTCTAAAATAAACTAACATTAAAAAGTCAGCATTTGCTAAGAGATGTGACATCATATCAGAGATGCTACAGTTTCCTCCTAGACTATGCTACCTATTGACTTTTTAATAGTGATCACAGTACTTGATGCTTACTGATTTTTTTTGTTTAAAGTACTAAATAGACATATCTTATGCAATAGAACTACTTGTAGAATAGTTAAAAATTATCTTTGCTCATGTGACTTGTAGTATAAGTCATCAGGGTAGCTTAGCCTCAAAGTACAACTTTTTCTTGTTCCTTAATATATGTTTGTCCTGCATATCACTTCTGCATATCACTTGGGCAGTTGCTGTTATATAAATTATCATTGGGTACTACAGGAAAGAGGGTATTAAGTTTTTTAGCTCATTCTCCAAATTTCTGACAGAAAAAGCTCTGTTACCTTTAGAATATCAATCAAAATTTTGCTAAAAGATCGTATTTGCGTCTATAAATACCAGAATCCATTTATTCAGAAGAAAGAAGAAACAGGATTCAGTAAACCAATTTCCTAAATTGAAAAAAGGGAGTTTTGATCTCTTCTTGACCTCAGAACACTGGAAAATGTCTGTCAACTATCGATACGCTTTAGCTCATCTACACCTATCCAGAACCTCTGAAAAATGAGCTCTAGGTTTCCTTCTATCTGCACTTATCCTGCATCAGAGGTCTGAGGAGTAATTTGCAGCCAGTTAATATATTATTTCTGTATGTCTGAGCAAGAGGTTGTTGACCCTGGGAGTTCCTTTTTTTTTTTTTAATTGGTACAATAAATAATGCTTCTCTTCAGTCCCTGGATCCGATCTTCCAGTATGAATGACCTACTTTTCTGAAATTAGGGTCAGAGCATTGAAGCCAGCTGATATCTGTAGACTTGCATTTTTCCTACTGTTTAAGTCACTGGCAAGTATAATATAGTGATGTTCTATTGCAAATTACCTGCATGTCTACTTAAAATATATAAGCCTAACCAAATTTCAGAAAACATTTTCAGAATTTAAAGGAAAACAGATTTCAATAAAAAAAATCTGTATCCTTTTTATCAAATTGCTTTAATATCATTTTAAAACTCCTCTCAAGGTTCTTCTGCTTATTCAGATGTTGTGTAAGATGTTCAGTGTTAATAGTAAAACTATTGGGCATAATTAATTCTTAGTGTAACTTCAATAAAAACAGTTCAGTTGTGCTAGTTATTAATTTGGTACCAAAGTTTTCTACATCTAATTTAAATAAGAGAACTGAGTCAGTGACGTATGGTTCCAGTAAACCAACACACTTTCATTTTTTTTCATATTTCCTGTTCTTTTAAAGTCTGTTGCACTGTACCAATCGCTCATAAAAGCAGCAGCAGAAAAATGTTTTCATAATAGTTATTAATATTGTACTTGCTCTCATTTGGATCATAGTCGGAATGGTAACAAAACCAGCAAGTGAGCAATCCCAGGACTTCTCAATACACAATGAAGATTTTCCAGCATTACCAGGCTCCAGTTACAAAGATCCAACATCAAGTAATGATGACAGTAAATCTGTAAGTGAATGTTAAAACTTTATTTTTTCCCTCCAGTGATTACGTTTTGTTTTTCAACAACCTAGTTTAAAATTGGCAGTAAAGCAATTTGAGTACACTTGTACTTCAAGGTGACAAATTTTAAGAGGTCTTCTATAAACTACTCAGTAATTGAAATATCACTATATGTACTATGCAGATTGGCTTTCTGTCTTCTGACCATGAAAATGACCTTGATAACAGATTATTTTTGTGGGGCGGGGATCAAATTACTTCCTCAGTTTCAAAAAAGTCCTGTGTACTTTTATGTACACTTTTGGAGATAGAAAACCCGAGTTTAATTGTTTGTTTCAGGTACACCTCACAAAGTTTGCTTCTAGAATCAAGATATAATTGTTCTAAAATTCCCGTGCTGAGTTTTAACATAGGGAGATACTTCCAGTTCAGATCCCTCTTCTTAGCTAGATTCACATGTTACTTTCTCCAATAATAATAATAATAATAATAATAATACTTTCCACAGTACAGCACCTTTCACTGAGGTTCTCAAAATTCTTTATAAACTTAATGAGTTAAGTCTCGCAATGTCCATGAGAGCTAGGTAAATATTATTATTCCCCATTTTTTATATAGATAGGGAAATAATGGGATAAAGTGATCTTAACCAAATATCACACAGGAAATCTGTGTCATTAAGATTTCTAACTCCTAATACCTTGTCTTAACCACAAGACTATTCTGCATCCTTTTAGTTATTACATATTTACATGTATAACTTTATTGACTCTGAAAGTTTGGTAATATTGGTATCTATCAGCAATGTAAATATTAATAGTGTAATTGCATGGTTTGGGGTTGTTTGTCCTAAGATATCCATATTCCAGTGTAGTTTGATTATAGCAAAGTTTAGCAAATATTGGTGGGTTTTTGTGATTCTAGTTGGTCATTCATATTGTTACATATACAGTATTTACTGGATATTTAAATAAGAATAAACTTGTAAAAAGATTTTTTTCCTCTTCAGTTAATGTGGCAAGCCATGAGTGGCAGAGGTATTAAAGTAGGAACTGTTTAATTCAATTCAAGTTCTTTGATCATAGATTTCATTAATAAACTATAGGTAGTATGTAGTGTTCCAAGGAAATCATAAAAATTAAATTCAGGGGATTTACAAGTAAAACGGAGAGTGTAATTATCTCCCCAGTTAAAACCACAGTCCTGGTGCACGTGAGATCATGGAGCTGATTTGATAATACAAATAAGACTAGCAAAGTATCTAATGTAAAAAAAATCCTAGATTCTGTACTTTAATGGGCATTTCAGAGTGGTTGATCTCAACTATGTACAACCGGTTTTGGGTTAATGCTTAACTTTTTGAACTTGGATGATTCATAGAATTTCCCACCCATTAATCTCTGCAAAGAAACTGCCAAAAGGGGAAATATCCTAGATCTGTACTAGCACCATATACCCTTTGGAATTTTTCAGTGAAGTATCATGAATCATTGTAACCCTGGGAGATTCAACCATTATTGCCAAAATTAGCATTTATCCACATTACACACTTGGATTTTTGAAGTAGTATAAAGCCTTTGCAGCATCCAAGAAGCCGTTGAAAGATATGGGAGTGAAGCTACTTTGTTGCATGCAGTCCTGCTATGTGTGGAGGTCAAATTCTTCATTTTTCATTCCCTGGAGGAAGCTGTTAAGGTTTGCCACTACTCAAAAATAGGAGGTAGAAGCAGACTCCGAGAGGGATTGGATAAAAATTGAACTGATACTATGTGATTCTATAAAAAGTTGTCTTGTCAAAAAGTCACAGTACTATGCAGGCAGTATGTCCTGATGTTCTGCCATTTGAAACAGCAGTACGTCAGTGCACACTAGAAAACTTGTAGTGTGCAGCAGCAAGATCCATATGGGCAGTTAGGAGGCAGCATGCTGAAGCACTGTTGATTTACACCTGAACTTGCTGCACACCAAACGGCCTTTTAGACGTGTCTAATTTCTTTTATTGTCCCTTCCTGTGATGTCTTCTCTAGACATTGGGCTCTTCAGAGTAGTATCCTGGCAGTGTGGCGCCATGCATTCTATGGTGTTGTAGAAATAGTAAATAGAAATGATGACAGAAAAACAATTTGCAGTAGAGAGCAAACATTTTATACAATTTTCTTGTCAAATATAGTGTTATACCTCTTTCCTAACTGGTGAGTGCCAACTGTAGTTTGCTTGCTTCTGTAATTGGTCCCGTTATTATATCCAGTGTCAGCCACTGCAGCTCAGAGGGGCTCTCTATGTGGAGATGAGACTGTTGGCTGGCATGTGAAGCGAAGGGCCCACGAGCACCTCCTGTGTCATGCACTCATTTAGAAATGCAGCAGTTTACTCTTCCCATTGAATATTCTGCTCCAAGTGTGTACAAAATATTTAAATATCCTGACCTTTTACATTTGAGATTATAGATTTGGGAGTAGTTCTTATTTTAGGGATTGTAAAAATGACAAAGGCATTAATCATACCTACAGATTGGTAACAGAACACGAGGACTTCAACTGACAAACAGAGCTGTGGTTTACATGTTGCTCATAAGTAAGCTCTGAAAAGTGTGGAAAACTACGTCTTTGTTTTTAATTCCTTTATGTTCAAATACCAGGGGTGTGTGTGTTTGTTGTTGTTGTTGTTGTTGTTTTCCCAAAACTTAAAACTGAATTACCTTGTAGTGTGGCAGGGCACTTAATTTCTTTTGGGATATGAATAACTGAACAGACTTCAGCATCACAGTACATGTATGGTCCTGTCGATGGCTTTTGAAGAGCACTTGATTCAGAAGGGCTGCTTAACCAAGTTTTCCATGTTGGTTTGTTTTCTATCATGCTAACTTGCACAAATTACTTGTTTCTTAATAGAATTTGAGTACATCAGGCAAAACATCTTCTAGTGCAGACGGACCCAAATTCCCTGGAGATAAAAGTTCAACAACGCAAAACAACAACCAGCAGAAAAAAGGGATCCAGGTGCTACCTGATGGTATGCTTGAGTCTTTTTTTGATAAATCACTTGAAAATACTTTCAGATGATCTTGTTGATTCCTCCACTTTTTGAAAGGAGAAAATTAATTGGTTGTTCTTGCCCAGGTCGGGTTACTAACATTCCGCAAGGGATGGTGACGGACCAGTTTGGAATGATTGGCTTGTTAACATTCATCAGGGCAGCAGAGACGGACCCGGGAATGGTACATCTTGCATTAGGAAGTGACTTAACAACACTAGGTCTCAATCTCAACTCTCCTGAGTAAGTTCTGTTTTCAATACTGTCATCAGTTTTGTTTTTATTATGCTGCTGTTCATAATATTGGGTTCATTTAGTTCACATGAATATAAAAAAACTGCAGATACTTTGACAAATTAAATTTGAAAATGCAATGACAGTAAAGTAAAGCTTTCATTAATAAGAGAACTGTGCTTCAAGGCATATTGAGATCTTGTTTTGCAATCTTTCAGTAAGCTAGGAGGCTCTCTTTACTCCCTTAACTTGTTAAGGATTTTTTCAGGAACGCTTTAGTGTGTTGTTAATAAATTTCATGCATAAATTATTTTTTAAATAAAAATTTTCCTTGAGGATATTTACATTTAACAATCAAGCAGCATTCTTATTGTAAATTAAACTTGCACTGATGTAATAACAAGCTGTACACCTTCATAGTTGCATTGTATAGTTGTATTGTTATCTTCAAGAGCAGTATACCTTTTGAAGTTAACTTCTAGTCCGTTAGCTATTTTATATTCTCCATGTGCATAATTGTGAGCCCTCCACCATGATATCACAGGGCAGTAAGGGATTTTAAAGAATCTCTTATACCTCTGTGTGGACTACCCATATCACCAGAGCCTATGTTGGGAGGCAAGAGGGGAACAGCTGCTGGCATGCTGCTACTTCTCCTTCCATACATGTGGGAAGTAAGCGGAGTATTGGTTCTGCCCCCCCAACACATCTGCCCACATACTTGAGCTGCTGTAGAGTGGGAAGTCATATGGATCAAGGGAAAAGCAGGAAACAAGAGTCGCATCTCTTTCTTACCTTGTTTCTGGGGCAGTTCAGCGGCATACTATCTCTTACTCCGGCTGGATTGAAGAATTACAATCCTGCCTCATGTCTTGTGAGCTACATGGGCAAACTTGGGACATGGAGCTCTAAAGATTTTGTTTACTCTGCATCACCTAATAAACAGAGTACTAAAAACATAATTCATCTAAAAGATATTTGATGCATGACCCACCTACAGAAGAACCTTGCTGAACTTCATAGTTTATTCTCTCTCTCAAAAAAAAAAAAATAGATGGTCTCTTTTTTTTCCACCAAAGATTTGTGTACTATGTTTATTGAAATTTTATGAATGCACACAATAAACCAACCAGCAAAACCAGATTGGAATGGTACATATAGATGAAAGGAATTCTTTGCACTTCACATTTCTCAGATTATATACACATGAAATAGGTATGTATGTGAGTTCAAGAAGGATTGGAGAGAGAGAGAGAGAGAGAGAGTAAAAAAAGATGAAACAAGAAAGAGTAAGAAGAAAAAAAGTGGCATTCTGGAATCTGCACTCCTTATACAGTAATTAGCACTAATTTATATATATCCCTCATGTAAACTGATTATTTTCAGGAATTACTCTATAGTTCATTTCTCAACATTTTTTCAGAACATTGTTCCATTAGAGAGACAAGGTGGGCGAGGTAATATATTTTATTGGACCAACTTCTGTTGGGAGAGAGACAAGCTTTCAAGCTTACACAGAGTTCCATTGGTATTCTCAGAACTACACTTGTGCACATTAACCACTCTTCTAATACGAATGGCTTTAGATTCTGCAGAATGAAAAGACTTAGTGCTGCTCTTACAGATGACTTCTTGTTTGAGTGTGATGGATTTTTTCTACTTCACTGAGAACATGAGTTTTAAATAGCTATACTAAGAAATAACTCTTCTCACTACTAGCTCCATAATCTGTAGCATTGATTTAATTTTGATTGTCTGAGTAGGTGCATCTCCAGGATGTGCGCAATATCAGAGTTGTTTGATATTTCCAATACAGATAGCCTTTCTGAAGGCAATGTTTGAACAATCAGCTTAGAGCAAAGTACATCTGAATTCAGTATTTTAAAGTAGATTTAAGTGTAATTTAGCACATGTAATTGATTATTTGAGGTTTTGGTACAATTTTGTCCCACTCTTTGCTAGTAAAACTAGCATTTAAAATCCTTTCATCTAAATCTCAGGTAATTTATTTTTAGCTTTGGAAATAGCTATATATATAAAAAATAGTAATGGTTTAGAATGACATTTTTCATGGTGTTGATATATGAAATTAAAGGTATTTTATTGTGGTGGTTTACTGGTATGCTATGCATCTCCTCTATTTGATAAAAGTCCAAATTGTCAATATACGTATCTATGCAGGATATTTCCAATTTGTTGTCATTGTTGGTAATTAGTTAACTGGATTTTTTAAGTTTTTAATAGGGAATCGTTTCATACAGAGTATTTACGATCTTCCTTGGATGCGTATTATTCAAGTGACAACATTGGATCCATGTATATGTCTATATATTTGTGTTGTAATCCCTGCTTTTAGTCTGGTTTTGGAGCTTTTACAGTTGATGATACAGATAGAAAATTTGCTATTTTATTTTACTGCCCTCAAAGTTAGTGATACGTTTTTGCCTAGTGTGACAGTCAGTCATCACTGCGCTTTAAATCAGCGGTTCTCAACAGGGGCTCTGCGAACCCTTTCAGGGAGGCCTGGGGCCCCGCGGCTAAAACCCAGAGCCTGAGCCCCAGCAGCTCCCGTGGGGCTGAAGCCAGGACCCAAGCGGGTGAAGCCCTGATGTCTGGCATCCCCCGCGCGGCTGAATCCTGGAGCCCTGAGCGCCCTGGTCCTCCCCACAGGGCAGAAGCCCTGAGCCCATGGGCAGAGTTGGGAGGCATGGGGGTGTTGCCTCCCTCCCCCCAAAACTACACTGTAAGAGCAGGGCAATCCTGGGGCAGCTCCACCCCCCACACACACCTCCTTCCCCTTCCCTCCCCCCCCGCCAGGTCAGAGGCGGGAAGCCAGAGCTGGGGCAGTGTGGGACAGCTGCTGCTCTGACTGGTGCCATGGAGCAGGCAGCTATGGTGTTCCCTTGTCTCCTGCTGGTGCAGGGGGTTGAAGCTGCTCCTCCGCTCCCAGCCCCCTTTGCTCATGCAGCTGGTAAAAGCTGACTGGGCGGGGGGACCCGGCTCGGTGGCTGGCAGAGCCCTCGGGGAACTAGGACCGCAGGGGAGCCCTCCCGACACACAGCCCCTAGCTATCCCTCTCCCTGCAACCTGAGCCTACCCTCACCTTGAGCTACCCCCCTTCCCACACACAGCCCTTAGGTACCCAATTCACTGCACCCTGAGCTGGTTTCAAACTCTTTGAGCTGAGCTCCCCCCTCCCATCTTTGAGTTATAGAGAGAATAGAAGTTGATACAGTACTGATAGGAATTGAAGAGAAACAGTCAAACGAAAGAGTCCAGTTACATCACATGAAGGCAGTCAGCTAAATATTGACAAATTTTATGTGTTTTTATACAAATGCTAGAAGTCTAAATGCTAAAATGGATGAACTTGAGTGCCTTGCATTAAATGAGGGTATGGTATAATAGACGTCACAGAAACTTGCTGGACGATGATAATCAATAGAACATGATAATACCAGGGTATAAAATATATAGGAATGGCAAAGTGGGTTGTGCTGGTGGGGAAGTGACATCATATGTGAAAGAAAGAATAGAATCAAATATAGTAAATATCCGAGAATCTCTGTGGACAGACATTCTATGCTTCATTAATGAGAGTATACCAGTAGCAATATACAACCAGACCAGGATGGTGATAGTGACTATGAAATGCTCAGGGAGATTAGAGAGGCCACAAAAATTGAAAACCCAATAATAATGGGGATTTAACTAACCGTATATTGACTAGATACGTGTCAAGGACAGGATGCAGAGACAAAATTTCTAGATACCATAAATGACTGCTGCCTGGAGCAGCTAGTTCTGGAATCCCCAAGGGGAGAGGCAATTCTTGATTTAATACTAAGCAGAGCACAGAATCTGGTTTAAGAGGTAAATATAGTGGAACCACCCAGTAATAGCAACCATAGTGTAATTAAATTTAACTTCCTGGGGGGAAGGGGAAATATCAAAGAAGCCCACCACAGAAGCATTTAACTTCAAAAAGGGGAACTACTCAGAAATGAGGAGACTAGTTAAATGGCAATTAAAAGGAATAGTCACAAAAGAGAAATGCCTGCAAGCTGCATGGAAGCTTTTTAAAAACACTGTAATAGACACTCAAATTAAATGACAGAGTCCTGATAGAGTGCGTGAATATTCACCCACGAAAGCTTATGCTCCAATACGTCTGTTAATTTATAAGGTGCCACAGGACTCTTTGTTGCTTTTTACTGATCCAGACTAACACGGCTACCCCTCTGATACTCAAATTAAATGTATATCCCAAATACAAAATAAAAAACAGAAGACCACAAATGTGCCACCATGGCTAAACCGAGTAAAAGAGGCAGTTAAAGGCAAAAAAGCATCCTTTAAAAATTGGAAGTCAGATCCTACTGAGGAAAATAGAAAGGAACATAAACTCTGGCAAGTCAAATGTAAAAGTATAATTAGGCAGGCCAAAAAATAATTTGAAGAGCAACTAGCAAAAGACACTAAAACTAACAATTCTAAACTGTATCAGAAGCAGGAAGCCTGCCAAACAATCAGTGGTATTAAAGAAGCACCACAGAAAGACAAGGCCGTTGTGAGGAAGCTAAATGAATTCTTTGCATTGGCCTTCTTTGTGGAGGATGTGAGGGAGATTCTCACACCTGCATCATTCTTTTTGGGTGAAACATCTGAGAAACAGCCCTAGATTGAGATGTCAGTAGAGGCAGTTTTGGAACAAATTGATAAATTTAACCATAATAAATTGCCAGTACCAGATGGTATTCACCCAAGAGATCTGAAGGAGCTCAGATATGAAATTGCAGAACTACTAATTGTGGTATGTAACCTATTGCTTAACTCAGCCTCTGTATCAGATGACTGGAGGATAACTAATGTAAAGCTGATTTTTGAAAAAGGCTCCAGTTCAATACTTGGCAAACTGGTTGAAAATATTGTAAAAACCAGAATGATCAGATACATAGGTGAACATGATTTGATGGGGAAGAGTCAGTACAGCTCTTGTAAAGGGAAATCATGCCTCATCAATCTAGTATGTCAGCACGCATGTGGACAAGGTTGATCCAATTGACATAGTGTACTTGGTTCTTCAGAAAGCTCTTCAACATATTCATTAACAATCTGGAAAAAGAGGTAAACAAAGTGAGGTGGCAAAGTTTGCAGATGATACAAAATTACTAAAGATAGTTAAGTCCAAAGCTGACTGCAGGGAGTTACAAAGAGATCTTACAAAACTGGGTGACTAGACAGCAAAATGGCAGATGAAATTCAATGTTGATAAATGCAAGTAATGCACATTAGAAAACATCATCCCAACTATATATACAAAATGATGGGGTCTATTTTAGCTGTTACCACTCAAAGAAGAGTGGAGTTGTTGTAGACACTTGTCTGAAAACTTCTGCTCAACATGCAGTGGCAATCAAAAAAGGTAATGTTAGGAACCATTAGGAAAGTGATAGATAATAAGACAGAAAATATCATACCACTATATAAATCCATGGTACGCCCACACTGTTCTGGGAGCCCTATCTCAAAAAAAGATATACACCTCTACCCCGATATAACGCGACCCGATATACCACGAATTCGGATATAACGCGGTAAAGCAGTGCTCCGGAGGGGCGGGGCTGCACACTCCGGTGGATCAAAGCAAGTTTGATATAACGCGGTTTCACCTATAATGTGGTAAGATTTTTTTGGCTCCCGAGGACAGCATTATATTGATGTAGAGGTGTATTAGGATTGGAAAAAGTACAGAAAAGGGCAACCAACAATTATTAGGGGAATGAAAGTTTCTATATGAGGGGAGATTAAAAAGGCTGGGGAGTGTTCATCTTAGAAAAGAGATTGGGGTGGGAAGGAATATAAAGTCATAATTGGTGTGGAGAAAGTGAATAGGAAAGTGTAATGTGAAGGGATAAATAACAAGAACCAGGGGTCGCCCAATGAAATTAGCAGGTTTAAAATGAACATAAGGGACTACTTCTCCACACAGTGCACAGTCAGCCTGTGGAACTCATTGCCATGGGATGTTGTGAAGGCCAAAAGCATAACTGGGTTTAAAAAAAATAGAGAAGTTTACGGAGGACAGGTCCATCAATGGCTATCAACCGAGATGGTCAGGGACACAACCACATGCCCTGGGTGTCCATAATCTCTGACTGCCAGAAGCTGGGACTGGACGACAGGGAATGGATCACTCAATAATTGCCCTATTCTATTCATTCCCTCTGAAGCATCTCGCATTGACCTCTGTCGGAAGACAGATTACTGGGCTAGATGGACCATTGGTGTGACCCAGTATGTCCGTTCTTATGTTCTTTTGTAGTGTGAAAGTCTCCTGAAATAGTAATCAAATAATTTATATACTGCCCAGAAGTACAGTAGAACCTCAGAGTTACGAACACGTTCGGAATAGAAGTTGTTCATAACTCTGAACAAAACGTTATGGTTGTTCTTTCAAAAGTTTACAACTGAACATTGACTTAATATAGCTTTGAAACTTTACTATGCAGAAAATAAATGCTGCTTTTAACCATCGTAATTTAAATTAAACAAGCACAGAAACGGTTTTCTTACCTTGTCAATTTGTTTTTCCTTTCCCTTTATTATTTTAGTAGTTTGTTTTAATATAGTACTGTGCAGCATTTGCCCCCCCAATTCCCCACCCCTTTTTTTTTTTGGTCTCTGCTGCCTGATTGCATACGTCTGGTTAAAAATGAGGTGTGTGGTTGACCGGTCAGTTTGTAACTCTGAGATAAGAGTGTTATCTGCTTAATACAGTGCTTTATGCTTTTCTGTGCCCGTATGAATTCTTTTTATCCCTGGCTCTTGCTTATTCCAAAAGCTAGAAATTCAAAATCTAGAGCAATTGCTATGTTCCATGAGCCAAAGATACTGCTTTAGACAGTTATCCGTTACTCATGTTTTTAGCACACTATACCAAATTTTTAAGGCTACAGTAAAATCTTTTTAAAGTCTTCCAAAACTTAGCAGACGTCACAACAAAAGTGATCCGCCTTCCTTATGGAATATAGTAAATAAATCAGGCTTCACATATAGCATACAGGGGATCATCTCTTTCAAAACTTTACCTATGATAGGCAGATAACATTAGGAAGAAGGGTCTTTACCCATTGAAATTTTTTTTGCAAAGATATTCACATTACGCTGATTAAAGAAATAGCGTTCTGTGATCTTTAAGGCAGTGTTTAGATGGGTGAGTGAGCCTTTATGTTCCAATTCTTGGGAAGTACTACACAGTTGGAAAGATTTCTCCCAGCAGAAGAAAGGTCTTGGTCGTTTTCCACAGATGCTGCCCCCTGTGATGCCTGCAGTCAGGATATATGAGGATATAAGCTGTTGTCAACCTTGGTTTAAAGGTGGTTTATGGTGTAGGCTTGGCACCCCTTGGTCTGGAATCATTTTTCTTTAGAACTTGGTTGGGAATTGGTCTTTTCCTGGTAACTTCCCAGGCTTGAAAGATTTTATAGCACTCTTATGCCTTCCTGCTAGAAGGTGCAAAGATTTAATAAGTTAGTAGACTGAAGTCTCATTTGCAAAATATGTCATAATACTATATTATCACAAACAATTAAAACAAAAGTGCAGCTGCCAAAAAAGTACATCTTGTGATTCACTGTCCTTTTTTGTTCCTCTGCCTGCTAATTACCAAACTTCAGTACTTCTCAGTGGATCACTAAGTCATTGGTTCAAATTAGCAAAGTTCTGCAGTGTTTAATTAGTAATCTAAAAGCTCCATTTTTTTCTTCTTGAAGTATTATCAAGAATTAAATCAGTGGTTCTCAACCTTTTGTACTGGTGACCCCTTTCACACAGCAAGCCTGTGAGTGCGACCCTCCTTATAAATTAAAAACACTTTTTTTTTTATATTGAACACTATTATAAATGCTGAAGGCAAAACGGGATTTGGGAGTGGAGTCTGTCAGCTTGCGACCCCCATGTAATAACCTCACAACCTCCTAAAGGGTCACGATCCCCAGTTTGAGAACCCCTGAATTAAATGAAATCAGAACATTTATATTTTTCATGTTTTTTTCATGTTCAACTAAAGTGGTGAAATCGATTCTTTGTCAGCATAGAGGAGAATTTAAAGGAAGGGTACAATCATTATCAGTGGGAGAAACTAGGCCTGCCAGCTATAAGCCTTTTTCTTCTTTTAATTATGGGCTCAGATTTATTAGCCCATCAGGCTCTTGAGAGGTGTTACACAATACCTCCATTCTGCCGAGTATGTTTGGGCTTCTGAAAGGGGTTGGAGCCGAATGCACTTAGGTTACAAGCACAATTGAGAATTGTGCCCTTTAGAATTCAGTGGTGGGGAGGGTTGCCATTGAAGTCAGTGGTGTCAGAATTTCACCCTAAAAGTTAATGAAGTAACTAAATATAATGGTTTTGGAGGAGGGGAGAGATGGGGGCTTGGATGTCTTCTTCAAATTCATTGCTTTTTAATTTGAGTATGTTTTTTCTTGTTCAGAAATCTCTACCCCAAATTTGCATCACCTTGGGCATCTTCGCCTTGTCGACCTCAAGACATAGGTAGGGAAAATAAGTTGTGTTTAATGCTGTGTTGATATTTATAAATGAGAATCAATTACATGGTTTAACAATTAGGTCAATTCTGATTCCTTTATCTAGACTTCCATGTTCCATCTGAATACTTAACGAACATTCACATTAGGGATAAGGTGAGTGTGCTTTCTTGTCCCCTATAATAAAATATGTAGATAAGAGGCTGCTTGGTTTATAGAATTATTTTCAAGATAACCTGATGTAATTTTTCACAGATGGATATCTCTCATCAAATCTATGGGTTTTAGAAAAGTGTTAGTCTTAAATTCTGTAAGAACAGAGGTACATGGCATGTTCTAGGAATGTTACATACCCTTTCCAACATTACAAGACCAAAAGAACCCTGCATCTGTTCCCAGTTTTGTTTTCCTTTAATTTCTTGGATGCTAAAAATGGTTTGCATTAGCTTTTGGGGAGTGTGAGAATGGGTTTGGGAAAGAGCCAACAGAAATCATTAGAGCCATAGTCACATGTAATGAAAGCAGTAGTCAGTCTAGACCAATATCCTATCTCTGAGAGTGTCAGATCCTTCAGACCAAAGTATCAAACCCCTATAATTCACATTCTATATCAACACTATACAGTACAGAGAGATTTCTTGATTCCATCTGATCAGCTTATAGCCTGAAGCTTAAAAATTGATAGCTCTTACTCCTTTCTTTCCTAGATAATAGAAATAGGAATTTTAAGCTTGATATATTTAAAAATCCTAAATATTGTGTGTTGATGAGATCATTCTATAATGTTTTAAAAAATAAGATGTAAGGGATTGCTGTACTAATGTAGCTATATAATGAAATTTGTAAACAAACTAATAAATTTAAAAGTAAAGCAAGTAGATCAGAAAATACACAAAGAAAAAAGATCCCCCCTTTCAGGTTTGTTACTTACATTAACTGTCCTGCTGTTTATATAATAGGAAAATTGGAAAGCTTAATTTAAACTGGAGAAAAATTGAGCTTTTGATTAGTATATTATATTGCTATATATTTAGTACCGGGGTGGGCAACCTTTCAGAAGTGGTGTGCCGAGTCTACATTTATTCACTCTGATTTAAGGTTTCACGTGCCGGTAATACATTTTAACATTTTTAGAAGGTCTCTTTCTATAAGTCTATAATATATAACTAAACTATTTTGTATGTAAAGTAAATGAGGTTTTTAAAATGTTTAAGAAGCTTCATTTAAAAGTAAATTAAAATGCAGAGCCCCCTGGACTGGTAGCCAGGACCTGGGCAGTGTGAGTGCCACTGAAAATCAGCTTGCATGCTGCCTTTGGCACGCGTGCCATAGGTTGCCTACCCCTGATCTAGTATAACTTTTGCAACATACTTAATATAAGGGAAACAGTTTGACTATATTTTCTTGTCACGTTTAAATGGTATTAGCTGTCATTTATTTTATTTACCTTTTCTGGTTTTTAATCTTATTTTTTTTATCTTTTGCAGCTGGCTGCAATAAAACTTGGCCGATATGGAGAAGATCTACTGTTTTATCTCTATTACATGAATGGAGGAGATGTATTACAGCTATTAGCAGCAGTAGAGCTGTATGTTCAAAATATTTTGGCCAATTTGGTAATATGATAGAATGACAGTTTACTGTAGTAATCATGTAGTAAATCTAAAATTCTGCTTTCCAGTTTACTTCTAAAAGCGAGAAACGCTATTTTTAACCCCTAAAAATAGAGGCATGGTCTGGGCACAGGGCTGTAATCCTGGAGCTCCTGAATTCTAATACTTACTCTGGTACTGGTTCCTTTCTATAGTCTCTCCATTTGTAATAAAATGCACCTGCCTCATATGGGTTTTGTGTTGCTTTTAAAGCACCCTGGAGACAAAAAGTGCTACATAAATGCCAACAGTTGTTAAAATTAATGGTATGGAGAAAGTGAATATGAAAGTGTTATTTACCCCTTCACATAACACAAGAACCAGGGGTCATCCAATGAAATTAATGGGCAGCAGTTTTAAAACAAACAAAGGGAAGTACTTCTTCACACAGTGCATAGTCAATCAGCCTGTGGAACTTGTTGCCAGGGGATGTTGTGAAGGCCAAAAGTAGAACTGGGTTCAAAAAAGAATTAGATAAGTTCATGGAGGATAGGTCCATCAATGACCAACAACTAAGATGGTCACAGGTACAACCCCGTGCTCTGGGTGTCCATAGTCTCTGACTGCCAGATGCTGGGACTGGATGACAGGGAATGTATCACTCGATAATTGCCCTGTTCTGTTCATTCCCTCTGAAGCATCTGGCATTGACCACTGTCAGAAAACAGGATACTGGGGTAGATAGACCCATTGGTCTCACCTAGTATGGCCATTCTTATGTAACTATCTAAAAACAAAACAACAAAATGGAGGACAATAAACGTTCAGAAAATGGTTTGCTGCTGGAATAGGCCAACTTCTTACCGAGCATGGCCAAGATTTTGGTCCTACCATTAGGACTGTATTTAATAAATGGTTATATTGAGCAGATAAGTAGGTGTTTTATGGACTTGATTTTATGTCGTACAAAGTTTTTTTTTTGGAATAGTGTAAAACAATGTCTGCTTGAAAGGGTGTGTGTTTTGTATTCTAAAATCAAAGCAACTAACATACAAAATTCTTTTTCCTCCCAATTAAAAATGAAAGATTTAACCGTGATTGGAGATACCACAAAGAAGAACGAGTATGGATCACCAGGGCACCAGGCATGGAGCCAACAATGAAAACCAATACATATGAGAGGGGAACATATTACTTCTTTGACTGTCTTAACTGGAGGAAAGTAGCTAAGGTATTTTTTCTTCCACTGTGCAGATTTTTAAATCTATCAACCATGTATTTTTAAAAATCTTTTTTTAAAATCCCCTTTTTTACTGTATGTATGTGTGTGTGTAAATATTCATTCTGTATCCCACACACTGGCTTTCTGACTTGAATTCAGATGTAGGAGGGAATAAGAATTTCCTAAAAACACTGGTTCGTTACTGGAGGGGTGGGGGAAGGAACTGTCTTCTCGATCTCTTCAAGAGGTAGAAAAATGCAGAATATCATTTTTCAGTAGTTCTAGTTAAAATCCAAATACTTTGTTCTGATTACTGAGCTATGGAGTAATTACTTCTTGCCATTTAGAAGTTGGGCATGCAAATACTGTACTTTGTTTTAGAACATTAAAAACAGAGCACAAACCTTTATTTTCAAATTAAACCATTTCTCCTTTATGGTATTCCCTTCACAGATGCACATTGTAGGAGATTCATGCTTTGTCACTCGAATTACAGAATCCTTTCATATTAGGAAATATTTTGGGGCATATGCCAAAGCTCCTCAGAACTAGTGTTCTTGGCCATAGGGGGGTGTTCAACACAAACAATATCCCCACTTCTGTTCATCTTGCTTTGTTCTTCTTTGGCGGACAAAATCCAGCCTCACTGTGTACAGGATCAATGTCAAGATTTTATAGAATTTTATTTTTCTCCAAAAATGTAGTTATCGGTGTGTTAGTAGTTTCCTTAATTTTAAGATCTTTTTATGGGAGTTTTTTTCCTCACTAGAATTTGACTATCAACTGTCCAATTCCAGAGGAAGCAGCGAAGATTCTCACTTGCAATACTCTGGCATTATATTTACTTGAACACCAAGGGAGGAACTGACTTCCATTGTTGTTATGAGATGATGAGTGCTTTTATGGTATGATGCATTCAGAACAAGGTGATGTCTTCAGCGCTATCTCTGGCATGAGTTTAACACCAAAAAAATAAAAAAAGCCACCCAAGAACCTTACACTAAATGCAGTGCAATTTATTGGATCAATGGTCCCTCAAGAATTCACTGAGAAGTTTTGCATTTTTATTTTATTTTGTCATGATAGGGTCATCTGGATATAGCATGGGTTTACAATGTCCAAATTTAAATATCTGATCTGCTACAGAATAGCTTTTTATTTGAAGTTCCACATTTCTTATTCATCGAGGAAAAGGGAATATATATGCCTTTCTCCCATTTCCTCTGTTGTTTCAAAGTTGATAGGTCAGGCCCACAGTGATCTTGATATCTTCAGCTCAGCAGACGTGGATCTTGAATATTAGCCCTTTTCAAGAATCTTCCCTATAACCTATTATCAGATTCTTTATCTCAAGAAAGAGGGCAAGTATTTCATCCAACTTGAGATTTCCTTAACCTGAAAGCCTAATTGCAGGATTGTTTGTTGGTGAGTCATTGCACTTCTCTGTGTAAATCACATCTTTGCTGTTTGGAATCATGAAAATATTCTTCTAAGCAGCTATATGTCTGTAGGTGAAAGTATTTTCAGGTTTAACCAGAGTCTAAAGGGGGTAGTTCCATTTTCTCCCCTGTAGCAGTTACCTTGAATTTTCTGTTACCACAGTGGACTCAGGTTTGTCTTCATCTACAGATAGTATATATAATAGGTTGTCTCTGACTACCATATTAATGTGCAAGAGTATTCAGTATTTTCAAATCCCTCAATAAAATGGCTTCTTACTAGTCTGGTGAATGTGAGAACATCTAGTTCTCACAAAGTTTATGGAATTCTTTTTTTTTTTTTTGACGTCTTGATATGTTATCTTTTGCATCTGTAGTTAGGTTTTGTTTTGATTTTTTGTTGTTTTTTGACTGACTCACACAGATGAACATTTCCACACTTCAGGTTTTAATGGCAAAGCTGCCTTATACAATTTTTCATACGGGCAAAATAATTGTAAGGCCTCAAACAAAATTGGCCTAGATGAACTTGGATTTTTAACTGAATTAGTTGATTTCTTTATCAATTTTTTTTCTTAGTCTTAGGTATGCTGTCAGTAATGCTATCCTATATGCCTGAGACGTTCAGAGAGGTATTACCTATTACCTTAATAGTGGGGGAAAGGCCCTATTGGAAATCTACAAGATTGTTTCTCGCTTTTGACGAAAGTGAAGGCCAAAACCTTTCAGTTATAAATGGATCATATTATGTATTCAGACATCCTATGAGCTTATTTGAATTGCTGTACCAGAAAGAATAAGTGCCCACTCTGCCACAGAGGTAGCAGCCTGCATAGCTGCTATTCACTATATGCCTGTAGTAGAAATTGTAAAGTTGCTTCTTGGAGCTTGATTATTCCTACTTTTAGAAAGCAGTATTCTCTTTGCAGAATGTAGATTGGATGCTGTATTCAGGAGAGCAGAACTTCATTCTTTTTGACTAGTGTACTCCTCGTCCTTCTTCCAGGGGATAGGTAGGCTACAGCAGTGTCAATGAAGAAAGATTACTTTTACCAGTAGCTGTTGCTCTCCCAAATATATTGTCTCTGCAGATCCATACAGCTTCTCCTACCTCCTTCAACTTCACAAATTGACAATAATTGTCCACTATTAGGGAGGAACTGAGGTCTAGTTAGGGAAAGAGGTAGAGCTTTTATACCTTTTCTAGAATTCTGGATCCAAGGAACATGCAAGCGATAGTTTTAACTTATTGATTTCTTGTTAGTTTGGAGCAAAATATACCAGGCAAGCTGAATATTGGTGGAAGGGGAGCTATGGAGGACTATGGGGAAAATTTGCTTTTTTGAGCAATGGAAAAATAACGATTAGGCTAGCTCTTACTATCTATGTGTAAAACTCATCTAAGACAAGTGGGAATTTCAGGCACAGATGGAGGGCAAGTATATGTCTGTGTAGTAAAGTCTGTGTAGTAAAAATGCGATCTCTAATATTAACCTTTGGAGTCAGAATTTCCTAAGAGTTTTAGGATAATAAGGACATGATTAAATTTAAATGTTGTTTTTAATATGAAGGGTTAGTTGTCCAAGTGACTATACTTCTAAATCCCATTAGAAAAATTAAATTCCAGGGCAGTACAAATATCAAATACCGTGGAGAACGTATTCTGATCAATTGCAACCACATGAAGTCATTTTTAAAAGATATTTTCCTTGTACTTTGTTTTACTGTAACAGATACATTATTACCTAATATTGAGAATATCAGTTTGCCAGAAGAGCATATTAATAACTGCTACTTAATTGATCCATGGATGTGGCTTTACTGCAGTCAGGTTAGAATTATCTGCAATAAATTACCATCATTTACATCTGTACTTCAAATAAATTATTTTTTCTAGGTGCTTTATAATCTTTCCTCTTGTTTTAATGTATATGTGCATTCTTTGGATAATATTACTAAAAGCGCCAGACTGTGTTTTTTTTTTTTTTTTTTAAATATAGGCTATACTTGCAATTTAATAAAACTCTGTGACAACATCCTAGACTGGTTTTAACAATCTAATAAAAAGGATTATACATAATCCTACTCAGTGAAATAGCAAATAACATTAATTTAATAAAGAATTAGTGTTACTGTACATTCACCTTCCGTAACAGACTGAAAAAGGAAATGAGTGAAAATTGAATAAGCATTGAGACAGCTTCCTAGATTGTTTTGAAATTCAAATTAAATGAATTCTCCATAGACATTTAGTTAAATAGCCCAAGAACTTGAATAATGAAGAAGTTTACTTCATATTCACCATAAACAGAAATATTAAGGAAATGTTGATCACAACTATGATATGCTTATGGCTTTTCATCCTATTCCATGTAGAAAGTACAATATGGTTAGAGAAACTTTGATTTTATACTGAGCAGGTAAAGCAAGAGAATACTCACTGTATAGCTTCCTCTGCTGAAGCTGCTGGGGTGATGCTGAAAGGCTCAGCAACAAGAGACAGGAAAGTGAAGACAATGAGACCCAGCAATGCCGCCAATGATTACACATTACTAAAAGAAAATTCTCTTAACTAAAATTTTATAATTTCTCTATTCAAAAATGAGGAAAGGTGATCCCTGTTAAGAAACAAAATTAAAACCCTTGTTTTATTTTTCCTTCCTAGAAGCTTGAATTCTTTATGGTAGCGAAATGTAGACATCAGAAAACGTTATTTTTTTTTTTTTTTTAGCAAGGGATGCTGCCTATACCAAATATCCTTTCAAATATTTACGGTCAATATTTAAATATTTTTTTTAATTATTAATAGAACAACATTTAACTTAATGACAAAGACATGCTATAGAGTAGTTGGTTCTAGTTCCTAATTTCTGTTTGGGTCTTTTGTGTCCATTTTGTAGCAAGTATTGTTTCTAGGCAAATTGAAAACTGTGTCTAGTAATGGAGCTTCCAGTGTTCCCTTGGTAGACTGATTCACAGTCCAATAGACTTCATCATTTTCCCTACATTTAGCCTGTTTAGCATACATTTGCCGTTGCTCTCTTTTATTCCATTAATCCTCTTTAAACAGTTCTCTTCCATATTTGGTGTTCACACCTACTAAATATTTTGTATAAATACATTGATTGCTGTGACATAACTCACTCTTTGTGACTGTAATCAGAATGACACATGAAAAATAAGATTCACTTCACAGAAAATTTCTTTAGCGTTGGATATGCTTTGTGGGATTTTCCCCCCTAAGTATGGAATCCCTATTCTTGGTTAATTCAAGGTATTTAAAAAAATCATTGTTTCCAAATGAAAAATAAAAGCAATTAATTTAACCAATGTTTGCTTAATAGACAAGCTGGAATTTTTCCATTTCTTTGTATCTAATAAATACAAAAATGATCAATGCAATTGTTCATATCCAAATCTATGATGGCCACTACTAACTAAAGTGAAACGTAAAATAACATGTATGAAAGTATTTTTCTATGTGCAATAAATACACTACTTTTTGGTTTTCAAAAATATTTGGTCAGTGAATTATTTCCCCCTATATTGTTAAATATAATAACTGTTAAGTGTAATTACACACTCTGAATGTGGGATCTTTTAATACTTCAGCATACCTGAAGCAGCAATAAAATGACTGACAAACACTGTTTTAATGCTTACAAAATTTGCATCCTATAGGTGTTAATATTTCCTAAAAAAATCTGTCACAGTAACAAATCTCAATCCATATGGCTCTAAAGGAACCCTCATGAGCCAGTAAGATTCCTTCCTTTAGACTCCAGGCATTAATTCAAGTGGCCGCTCTCTACATGTAGTCTTGAATGCACTCCAGAATATGTGAGGGTTTAGCATTCACCTGTTTCCTTGCTTAATAAGTTTTGTTAAAATAGCAATTCCCCAATTGTAGTCCATATACTGGTAATGATCTGCAGAGCCTTTTCTGGTCATCTGCAGAACATAACACTCTGAGAATCATGAACTGGAAGGTTGGAGAGAAGGTAATTTGAGGGGCATTTTTCTTATTTCAAAGTGAGACAGGAGAATTTCAGAGTTAAAGACTCTATCTTAAATTATACCCCCAAGAACCATGTGTGGAAGTGTTTTCCCCACACTGGTATCCCTTGTTTCTCTTCCCCCGCACCCCAAAAAGAAAAAGAGAGCTCATTACCCCCGCCCTATCCATGGATGTCCATGGGAGGGTGGGGTGGAATTTACCCACCAACACTAATACACTGGCACGCTATATTAAATATTTTCCACCTCAGGTCCCCAGGAGCTGCCACAGCCAGGAAGCTGGGGTGGAGGATGGGATGAATGTGCGGGCCAGAGCCACAGTAGGGAGACAAAGCTTTCATGCACATGGCCATGGTCTTGTAGATGCTGCTGGGATTCTCGAGGTTTGTGGAGAGCTTTATTTGGGGATATAGATTCAATTAATTCTCAGCATGATTCCCTAAATTCCCTCATTACCATGGTGAATTTTTTCTCTATGCCAGGTAACTTTGTTTCCCCTTAAAGATCAGAGGCCTGGGATTCAAAACTCCTGAACTCTAGTCCCAACTCTTGCACTGATTTGTATTCTAATTCATTTTACCCATCGGTAATAGAAATAATACTATATTTAACTACCTCCCAAAGGTGTTGTGAGGCTTTATTAATTTTTTCAATACTTTGAGTATGTTCCTCAGTAAGAGTTGACATAATCCCTACCCAGATAAGTTTTTAGAATCTGTAGGAGGTTTGTTGTTTGAGATAATAAGCTCAATAAATTACAGCGCTGAAGGCAGAAGTGTTTTATTTAGCCCGGGATGATTATTACTGAGTTATCAGAAAGTATCCTTAAAGTACTGTACTAAATTTTCAATTCACTTTTTGAATGCAAATGCAATGAAAGAGGCTTGGGGAGCTGTCAAACTACTAAAAGGTTAAAAAATGATTTTTTAAGCCCAGTTTTATGTATATTTTTGCATATACCCAAGTTGTATGCTGAAGATGCCAATGTGAGTACACAAATTGGTGATCACAATTCAAGATCATGCAGTGGAATTGTAATAAACGCAGAGCACTGCATATTCATAGCAGAGTTGTCAAGAGGTATTTAAATGGTAGGTATCCCAGCAATCTGATTTGTCATGGTTGCTAGCCATTTAGAATATATTCACATACTTGAATGGCTGGAATATTTTTATAATTATTAAGCAAATCAAATGCCCACATAATGCAAGGAATTGTATAAATGAGAGAGAAACTCTGCATTTATGAATTAGTAGCTGTAAGAGCCTCATACACTGGCTGAGCATTATTAATATTCAGTATAATGGTTTATAAAGTGCTTTGAGGTCTTTAGAAGAAAACCACTACTGAAGTGTAGTGTAGTAGTAAAGAGCTTCTATATATGGCTCAGCAAACCTAAAGGAAGGATGGATACACCTGAAGTTTAACACTTCACCCAAGTATAAACGGTAGTGGAATGCTTTGTTACATCTGTATTGGGAGCATAAGCTTTTGTGGGTAAGAACCTCACTTCTTCAGATGCAAGTGAGGTTCTTACCCACGAAAGCTTATGCTCCCAATACTTCTGTTAGTTTTAAAGGTGCCACAGGACCCTCTGTTGCTTTTTACAGATTCAGACTAACACGGCTACCCCTCTGATACTTT